GGGTGGGGGGGGGAGTCCCGTGTCCCCGTCCAGCTCGAGACAGACCCCACGGAGGTTGCCAGCTCGATTTCCGGCTCGGGGCTGGAGACCCTGCAGGGCCCCCCCTGCCCCTGCCCTCCCCGCTCCTGCGCGGACTTTCCCGGGGCTGTTTGGACCCTGCGCGGAGCACACAGGGGCTGGCAAGCTGGGGATGGGAGCTGGAGGACTCCTACTCTCCTGCATCGCTTTCTAAGATGCTATTCCTGTGCATGGCCCATGCCTGAGGCACAATGTGTGCTCCCACACTCCTCTCCCCAGAGGCACCCCCATATCGAAGGACCAATGTGCCCTCTAATTTTTTCCATCCACGTGTGGAATACATTTTGTCACGTGCACCGAGGCATGGGCAGATGTGCACCACCCTTAGAACCACAGGCTGCTGCTGTGGGCGCTATGTTAATCAGCTGGGCAGCATTTAAATCTCCCCTGGGTGTGTGCTCCCACACTCCTCTCCCCAGAGGCACCCCCATATCGAAGGACCAATGTGCCCTCTAATTTTTTCCATCCACGTGTGGAATACATTTTGTCACGTGCACCGAGGCATGGGCAGATGTGCACCACCCTTAGAACCACAGGCTGCTGCTGTGGGCGCTATGTTAATCAGCTGGGCAGCATTTAAATCTCCCCTGGGTGCCTGCCCAAGTGCTCAGCTTACAGGGAATTCTGCTCCTAACTAGCACCTCTTCTAGGGAACTGTGGTTTCTTGATTACAAATGTGGTCTGCTCTTCCAAGTGGCCCTCTCTCCCTGCAGGCAACAGTTGCCACTGCCCAACACCCCCACTTGCTCCTGCAGGTGCCCTTAGGGTTCCCTTTGAACAGGCAGTGTGCTTGGGAGCCTCTGGGTGGCGTTTCATGCCTGGAGAGCACTAATCCCATATCCTCTCCGGACCGTCTGAGGCTTGTTCCTGAACCCCAGGCTGGGTTATTCAGGTTTTTTTGGACTGAAAGCAAGTCAAAGCTGGAATGATGATGGCAGAGTTGTGGGCCAGCGGTGGGTCAGAGGGAGTGCGGCAGGTCTATCGCCATATCCGTCGCTGCTGTGTCCTGTTCTCTTCCTCCCAAGAAAGCTCAACAGTTCTAGGATTATAAAAGCAGGACTGAGCTGACCCCAGCTGGAGCTTGGGGAGGGGTGACAACGGGGAGCACAGTGCTGGGGGGCATGTGGGAGAAATGACTTTGAGGGGAGCAGGGTTCCCTGTAATCTGTGCCTTTGAGTGGCCGCCCAGGAGAGATTCAAATGCCATCCAGCTGAGTCGCACAGAGCCCACAACTGGCAGCGTGTGTTTCTAGTGGTGGTGCCCATCTGCCCATGCCTTGGCGCATAGAACAAAATTTATTCTGCCTGCAGATGGGAAAAATTGGAACACTGGAGTGGAGCCCTTACAGGGTTACAGGCAGTCCCCGGGTTACGTACAAGATAGGGACTGTAGGTTTGTTCTTAAGTTGAATCGGTATGTAAGTCGGAACTGGCATCCAGATTCAGCTGCTGCTGAAACTGACCGCCAGTTCTGATTTACATACAGATTCAACTTAAGAACCCCAAGCTTCCCCAAGTCAGCTGCTGCTGAAACTGACCGCCAGTTCTGATTTACATACAGATTCAACTTAAGAACCCCAAGCTTCCCCAAGTCAGCTGCTGCTGAAACTGACCGCCAGTTCTGATTTACATACAGATTCAACTTAAGAACCCCAAGCTTCCCCAAGTCAGCTGCTGCTGAAACTGACCGCCAGTTCTGATTTACATACAGATTCAACTTAAGAACCCCAAGCTTCCCCAAGTCAGCTGCTGCTGAAACTGACCGCCAGTTCTGATTTACATACAGATTCAACTTAAGAACCCCAAGCTTCCCCAAGTCAGCTGCTGCTGAAACTGACCGCCAGTTCTGATTTACATACAGATTCAACTTAAGAACCCCAAGCTTCCCCAAGTCAGCTGCTGCTGAAACTGACCGCCAGTTCTGATTTACATACAGATTCAACTTAAGAACCCCAAGCTTCCCCAAGTCAGCTGCTGCTGAAACTGACCGCCAGTTCTGATTTACATACAGATTCAACTTAAGAACCCCAAGCTTCCCCAAGTCAGCTGCTGCTGAAACTGACCGCCAGTTCTGATTTACATACAGATTCAACTTAAGAACCCCAAGCTTCCCCAAGTCAGCTGCTGCTGAAACTGACCGCCAGTTCTGATTTACATACAGATTCAACTTAAGAACCCCAAGCTTCCCCAAGTCAGCTGCTGCTGAAACTGACCGCCAGTTCTGATTTACATACAGATTCAACTTAAGAACAAACCTACAGTCCCTATCTTGTACGTAACCCGGGGACTGCCTGTATTTCAGAACATTAAAATGCATTAGAAGCCTACACCTGTTCCCTCTGGGCTTCCATCCATTTTAAAGACAAAACCGGGAGCATGAAAGAATAAACTGCCCCTTTCCCTTATCAACTCTAAGAGCTGCGTAAGGTCTTCTGTACTCTGGCCTCATGTCTTGATTATAGCACAACTCCTAGCATAGCAGCACTGTTGCAAACTCTGTGCCAGGCAAATCCACTGAAGTTCAACTGCACTGGTGGGGTACAGCCTCTTAACCCTTTGCAATAGTGCAGCAATCCCAGTATCCGTGCCCCCACCGGCTGAAATTGGCCTAGGATTACACCAGGCCTAAGATTAATTGAGTGGGTCACAGTGCAGGCAGCAGGGCCAATGCCAATGGAAATTTCATTCCTCAGCTGTAAAGTGGTAGCTTGCCAGTGAAACAAGAGCTTCCTTGGCTTACTGTCTTTTCCGTAACTTCAGTGCAGGGCAAGGTGCTGTTATTTCCATGTATCAGTGATATCAGGCCAGGAGTCATTTCAGCCATTGATACGGGTCTGGTCAGTTTCCAGGCCAAGATGCCTGGTAAACACGTCCATACCTTTGAAAGCATTGCCAGCGCCAGAGAGAGACTGCCGCCAAACACAAGCTCAAATCATCGCCATCCGTTTCAGCGCAGCCTGGATCAGTGAAATGTCGCGTAACAGACTGGCAACCCCCTCCTCTGCACGTGCACACACACACAGGGCCTGATCCCACTGGGGCGGGGTGAGGACCAAACCTTACAAGATTACAGCTGGACTGACGTGAGTTCAGGGCGCAGAGCTGAAACAAGGGTGCATGCAACAGTCTCTCCACAGTGGTTTTGGGCAGCCCAGTGCTGCAGTACCGGCCCTGCCTTTCATGACCACATCTTGCAACAATCCCGGCTTTTTCTGAGGCTTCGGGATAGGGATTTATAGCCCAAGTCTTTTCGTAGAATCACTGAATCCTAGGGCTGGAAGAGGCTTCAGGGGTCCAACCCCCTGTCCAAAACAGGACCAGCCCCAACTAAATGATCCCATCCAGGCAGGGCCGGCTTGAGCCATTCCTGCGTCCCAGGCAGCAGGCGCATGATGCATGCGCGGCTCCTCCCCCGGGCGCACTGCGCATGCGTGGCCCCGCCCCCCGGTGCGCTGCACACCTTACAGCTGCAATCTAAGGGGTGCTATGTGGTGGGGTGCACGGCGCCCCTTACAGCTGCCATCAGGTGCCCCCCATAGATTGGTGCCCTGGGCAGCTGCCCGGCTAGCCCCCCCCTTAATCCGGCCTTGTATCCAGGGCTTTGTCAAGCCAGGGTTTAAAAATCTCTAGAGGTGGAGATTCCACCCCCTTCCTAGGGAACCCATCCTAGAGCTTCCCCACCCTCCTAGTAAAACCCTCCTGTTGTGAAACCCTTTGTATTGGTCACTCCATGCACCAGGGTCACCCTTGCAAATCCACACCCCTCATTGCTGTAAACAGTCACCACCTCCCAGACCAGGTTAATACCCCGGTGCAATGTGAACTGCAGCATGATTTG